TTTGGTTTTTTGAGACAGAGTTTCTCTGTGTAGTTTTGGAGCCTGTCCTGGATCTCGCTCTGTAGACCAGGCTGGCCTCAAACTCACAGAAATCTGCCTGGCTCTGCCTCCTGAGTGCTGGGATTAAAGGCGTGCACCACCACCGCCCAGCTGCACCCAACACAATTTATCCATTTGAAGAGTACAGTTAAATGATGAACCTGGGTCCTCTGCAAGAACAGTGGTGTTCTTAGTCACTGAGCCATTTTTCCATTCCCAGAAAGTACTCTTGGCTATGAAGCCATCTTCTCAGCCCCAAAGTATTGCCAATTCATCTTTAATGTGATGGTTGCAGTTTGTTTTCTGCCACAAGAAGGGATAGAACTGCCAGGTGGTGGTGGTCTACAGAGCAAGATCCAGGACAGGCACCAAAGCTACACAGAGAAAACCTGTCTTGGGGGGAGGGGGAACCAACCAACCAACCCAACAAACAAACAAACGGGATAGAACCTAGGACCCCACACATGGGCAAGCACTTTACCACTTTAAAAAGTGGTGTTTTTTGTTTTGAGACAGGGTATCTCTGTATAGTCCTGGCTGTTCTGGAACTCACTTTGTAGACCAGGTTGGCCTTGAACACAGAGAACTGTGTGCCTTGGAGTCCTGAGATTGAAGGCTGCATTTTTTTTTTTCCTAAAGGAAGGTTATCTAGTGGTTATTGAAGCTCTGGTTGTGCTCACATCATCTCAGGACTTGGGTGCAGGTTCTATAAGAAGACAAAGGGATAGGAAGCTACCCAATGCCTGGATTGTACAGTTGTCGCTCTCAGGGAAGCAGGTCACTGTCCCTGCACTCAGCCTCTTATGATTGTTTACAATAAGACCACTTATCTGCAGTTTTGCTTTCCATGATTTCTGTTACAGTCAACTGTGGTCTAAAAACATGAAACAGAAAACTTTGGAAATAAAAGATGTACGTGTAAAGTTGTATGTTGCTTGAGTAGCATGTTGGAATCTTGCACCATCATACTCTACCTACAGTACCTTGCTCAAACTTACTAGAACATGAATCATTCCTTTGTTCACCATATCCATACTGTATATGCTACCTTACCATTAACTTAAATAATAGCACCCTTAAAATTTTTTTTAGATTTTTCTTGTGTGTTAGTTTTTTGCCTTAATGTATGTATGCACACCACATGCATGCCTGTGGAGGTCATAAGAGGGGGTCAAGTTCCCTGGAACTGGAGTTACAGGTGGTTGAGCTGCCATTTCAGTGCTGGGAACTGAACCTGAGTGTTGCTAGAGTTTTCCTGCCTTTTTTCTAGAATTAGTTAGTACTCTATATGACCATTCATATCTTAACAAAGTTTAAAATGTATATATATCTATATATCTATATATCTGCAGCCCCTGAGTCCTCTGCAAGAGCAACAAGTGGCTCTAACCCCTGAGCATCTCCTCAGCTCCTATAACTGCAGGTTGATTTTTGGATTTTCCAGACAGGGTTCCTCTGTGTAGCCCTGGCTGTCCTAGAAGTTGCTTTGTAGACCAGGCTGGCCTCAAACTCACAGAGATCTGCCTGCCTCTGCCTCCCGAGTGCTGGGATTAAAGGTGTGGGTCACCATAGTTGCACTCAAATCAACAATTATTGTATTCCTGCAGTCCTTATGTTTTTAAACCCCTGTTATTTAATAATGGCTCTAAAATGCAATAGCACTTAACACTAGCAACTTTGGCTATGACAAAGAGAGAGGTGGCAATGCTTTAAAAAAGTAAAATGGGGGCTGGAGAGATGGCTTGGTGGTTAAGAGTACTGGATGCTCTTCTAGAGGACCCTGGTTCAATTCTTAGCACCCACATCTATCTGTAACTCCAGCCTTAGGTACAACTCCAAGTGATCTGATGCCCTCTTTTGGCCTCCATGGGCACTGCAAACTATGTTGATGCAAGCTGAACATCCATATACATTAAAAAAAAAAAAAGTGAAATGGTCTGAATAAGGAAAACTAATATCCAAACATTTCTAAGATTTTTTTTTTTTGGTTTTTTTTTTTTGTTTTTTCGAGACAGGGTTTCTCTGTGTAGCTTTGGCTGGCCTCGAACTCACAGAGATCCGCCTGCCTCTGCCTCCCGAGTGCTGGGATTAAAGGCGTGCGCCACCACGCCCGGCCATTTCTAAGATTTATAGTAACAATGATCTATCTGAAAGTATGAAGAAAAGGTAAAAATGTGCTGGCTTTGCTGCAGTTACTTAACTATGCATAAGTGCTCAGTTAAGATGGAAATGGTATTAACTTTGTTGGTGGGAAACATCAACAGGAAACGTGTTTCATTGGAAATCCATGTCCCATACAATATATCCCCTATGAAGAGACGCTAGCAAACGGGCCCTGAAGCAATACTGCTGAGCTCTTCAATGCAGGCACGGATGCAGGCTCAACAGGTTTCTCAATCAGAAAACAGATGGCTGGAGAGCCCAGGTCTACCACTGGAGAAAGCTGTGACTGGATTTCCAGCAGAATTTAAGATGACACAGAGGAGAGCTGGGGGTGCAGCTTAGGACAGAGTACATGTCTATCACACGGGAAGAAGCCCTGGCTTTTTTTTTTTTAATCTTTTTTTAGAGATTTATTTATTTATTATGTATACAGCATGTATGACTGCAGGCCAGAAAAGGGCACCAGATCTGATTACGGATGGTTGTGAGCCACCATGTGGTTGCTGGGAATTAAACTCAGGACCTCTGGAAGAGCAGGCAGTGCTCTTAACCTCTGAGCTATCTCTCCAGCCCGAAGCCCTGGCTTTGATCCCTTGCACCATTGCTGCCCCCACCAAAACAGGCATGGTATCTCCAGCAATTGGGAGTCTGGCGCAATGATTAAGATCAGCCTAGGGGACAAAACAGCCACATAAAGGTCCTTAAAAAAACAAAAACACTACACCAACAACCAACCAACCAACCACCCAAAAACCCCAAGGGGGTTGGTATGATGGCTCAACAGATACAGAAACTTGCCATACCAGCCTGGTGGTTTGAGTTCAATCCCTGGAACCCACACAAATGTGGAAGGAGACCTGACTCCGTGAAGTTCTTCTTTGACCCACAACATGTGTGACGTGACACACATGCACAACATACCCATGCAGACACAGTGATAACATTAGAAAACCTTGGAAATAACCCAAGCCAAATTAAAAAAAGGGGGGGGTTAGGGAGATGGCTCAGTGGGTAAGACTTCTGGCTGTGAAAGCAAGAGGACCTGACTTCAAATATCCAGAACTCACATAGACGCTGGGCTTGACTGCATATGCCCAACTCGAGTTGGGGATGGAGACAGGTGGGTCCCAGGAACTTGCTGACCAG